TTGAAGACGATTTGGATCTATTTTTTCCATTAATGCTAAACGCACAACTTTTTTTAATGCTACACTGTTCATTCTTTTTTAGAAATGGCCTACCGGTGTTCAAAGAATTGAAATACCTTTCTGAAGTGAAAAGATTCAGCATGGCTGTGATGTTTCTGTCGGACAAAGATAAGACAGGTGAGTGAACCTAGTGCGACCACTCGCACTAGTTAAGCAACATCACGCTATTTGCATGGAGAGCTGCATGAGGCTGTTTCTCATATAGGGATAAACGGTAGCTCGAAATCCATTTTAAGCATAACTTGCTTGAACTTGGAATATCGGTGCAACTAATTCGTAGAGCAAGAATGCCTTGTCTTATCTTTTAAACGTTGGGTCCTACAAGTACAATTTCGCTTCGAGTGATTCCAGAGAACCAAAAAGGGGCTCCTTCTTGGTGTAGAAGACACAAGAAATGTCACAATAGAACACCGCCTCATTAACCTATTGTTGTCATTGTTTTACTCGTTCTTTTGCCGTTTTGTTCCCTATTGTTTTACGTCAACTGTGTCTTCTACACCGAGTAAGAGCCCAAAATGGTGTTGTTTTTTTTCGATGTTCAAAGCTATCTTCAAAACATCGACATAACGGTAGCGTGAAGAACTAGTCTGTGCGGAAGCCCAGCCTCCCAGACATACCTGATGTATGAAGCTTATGATCAGACTACACAATCAAACCTCACTCCTAGGTTCAAACCATTTATTGTATCAAATTCTTACTTGATACGTAGAAAAAGACGCTGTGAAAATAAACAAAAAAGAAAGAAAAGAACAAAAAAACATAAACGAATGTTCCTTGGACGGCGCTTGAACCTCGTCCATTTTTGATCGTGTATCATGCGAAGAAGAAACGAAAACGGCCGTGAATGAAACGACACGTTTGAAAAGGAATCCCCAACGATGACACAATTTTTTCTGTCAGTTGCCCAAGTTTTTTCCGTCCACAAGCCTATTTGTTTTAGCCATACCCAATCCTGCACGACAAAAGGACATTTTTTTTCTATCCAGAACACAGACGTGTTGCTTGTTTAAGTGTTCTCTAACGAAAAATTTGTGGAGAACTTGGATCATAAGTTGCGATAAATTCGAAAACTAGCTCAAAGCCGAAGGTCAGTAAAGAATTGACTTTTTTTAGTAAATGCTTGCTTAAAAATATATTATTTTGTAATATCGGTCTTGTGGACTCACATGTTCAGTCGTGTAAATTTGGATCTTCTAACATGCAATTCTTGCGCAATAAAGTTTGTTTTTAGACGAGCCTTTTTTGCTGGCCAGCTGTTAGGTTTTGTTAATGGAGGGTGACATTGCAAACTCGTTAATTGCTTGGTTACAATTTTTTGGGGCGGTCGGTGACGTATGTCAATCTATGGTCAGAGCTACGTCCCAACTCTTTCTCTTCCGGAAGTGACCAATGAGGAAATTCCTTTTCAACATATCCATATAATTTCAAGCAGAGTAGTAAAAGGAAAGAAAAATATCGGCTAAAAGGATACAGTTGGATTCAACACCGAATTATCAGGGCTAGATGTACGGGAAATTAATGTTTCACAATTGATAAAGAGATTAAATTAAGTTATTGGCAGTGAAAGAGTTAAACCTGACAACACAGGAGACATGTCAAGGACATTGTTAAGACTTAAATTATGTTTTCTCTTGTACTATCAACAGTACGCTTACCTACACTGTACGTGTTATTTACAGAGTCAACATTACATTGATTCATACAATGATAAGACTCCTTATACCTCACTGAACATTATCGATATTAAATAAAACCGTGCCGCAGTATTTAAAATGAAACTTAAGTAGCATAATTCTGAGTTTATGGAAAATTCTGCGCTTCCTTCTTGTACTTGACAAATTATCTATTGCAGAAGATTGATCTTGAAGTTTTTAATTATTTTACTTAACTTGACAATACTTCACTTGGGGACTTGCCGAGAATGATGATTTGACATGAAGAGATATTCTAATCCAGCCACTCCATTTTCTTAGTCAAGTGTTTTTCAAGTGTTCTTTGCAATTATATGTTTCCCATGACAACTGTGTGTCACTTGTGAAGTGATACGGGCAAAGAGAATGTGCAGTTTATCCCCCTGACTTTTGTGACAAAATATTAAAGGGATTGCTTCTTTATCTAACCGTCTCCTTTTAAAAGTAATTGGGAGGAAAAAAAATATTCGAAATAATCATTAGTTGAGGTCATTTCATGCGTTGTGTATGTGTTCTATTGCAGTTATCTGCGACCTTTTACAAAGCATAAAACAAAACAAGGAGGACTGGAAATTAACGGATGATTATGTCAATAATTTGGCTACGAAATATGGAGTGTCTTGAACATTTTCCGTGGAAATTTGACACGCCACGACAATGTTTACCGATGGATGTCACGTGTGTTTCCTTTAGTGTAAGCTGAGCAGGCCCAGAGAAAGAGAAATATCGAGTCACTTGTGAATCTTGTTTGGCTATATTTACTTTCAAGTTTATGATGCCGGCGTTATGGGGCTAAATACGAACAGCTTTAAAAACCGTTTGAAAGCTGGTTTGCCAAACATGGTTTGGAATTCTCTTCTTCATTTAAGTTGCTTCAACTAATGTTTTTCGAATTCAGATTTAGCTCAGCGGAAATAAAAATTAATCAATCCTGGAATCTCATGCAGAATTCAGTTTTTCAGTATTCTCTTTCTGATTTTTATTCATTTCAACTTGGTTTAATGAAACATATTTAGAGACCTTCAGATTTCGAGGTGAGTATGAATTTGAGTACGATATTTTTCAATAGTGAAGCAATGGGCTCGACATCACCTGTGTTATTTTGTCGGGCGAAACGCAATAGCCGTCAACATTATAAGACCATTATTCTTGGTGAAAGAGGTGAAGTGGATAAGAGACACTGAGAAAGATGCAGTCTCAAGTCGAGCTCTATTGCGTCTATGAAACAAAAACTGTGCACTCTTTTCGGCATATTTTGCTCCAGTAAAGCGCCATGGAGCTTGGCAGAAAATATCACATTTTCGTGAGTTGTCTTTTAGAAATTGATTCAAATTTCATACGTGCTCGGACTCGGCTTATTATGTGAAGGTCCTTAAATAGTCGACGGAAACTGTTGACTACTTTGAGATGAACAGATTAAGCACTTAGAGCTTACAAGGTTATTAACGGAACAAATGAATAGCGGAAACTATGATTGATCAGCTAATGTGAAGTGGCGTCAATAACGTTCAGTCTTGTTTGTCATGCAGCACCACGAGAACACGCTAAAAACCTTAAAGAAGGACTTAAAAGAAAGACAAATAAATATAAACCGCGAAATGTCTTTTAAAAACTGCTACCTGTGAATGTCGATTGTTGAAATTAAACATAAGAAATGTAAATTTTCTTTTAATTTGAAGTAAGGAGTAACTCATGGCACACTTTCGTAAAAACACCTGTTTCAGAAACCTCCTTGAATGATTTTTCTCGTCGTTTCTAAGCACACTTCTGCGAAGTGGTTTACATCATCGAGTCGTATCTTTGATTGTATGTTATACAGAAAGGCTTAATTTAAGAAAGGAAGAAATGTTGGACAGAACTGAAAACACGTGCGAAACCTTTAAAAGTATTTTTTTCCAGTCCGTCCTTCTCCCACTTACACTTCTGCGAAGTGGATTGCGGATGTTCGCTTAATATTTTCGATTGGGTTTCGCGTAATGAAACCTAAAAACAGTTAGATTCAACGAGAGAAAGGGCAATCATTGCCGTCACTAAAAACGTCATCTGTTCTTTTCTTTTTCCGTAAAAGAAACAGTTCCGCTTAAAAGCGTTAATTCCTTATGAGATTTCTAACTTTCTTACACGGCTTTAGGTAATGGACATTTTCATATTCAAATTAAGAGTCGGCCTCTTTAAGTGGTTAAAAATTCATCCAGGATAAGATTTTTCTTATTCGAATACCCAATTCACGCCACAGCTTAAACATATTTTAAAGCTGTTTTGTTTAACACAATTGAAAATTGTTTGCCTCTCACAGAAGCTGCTGAAACCGATGTTGGTCGACGTCAAATTTACCACATCGAAAATAAAAGTTAGTGACTTCTTGAACCCCATGGAAAACTCACTTTTTAGTTCTCTGTTTCTGATTTTCATCCGATAAAACCCGGTTCAGCTAAACACATTTTGCTGGTATGAATGGGGTATCATTTTGAGAGGACACAACTGCATGTTAAAAGACAGGGTCAAGCAGCTAGCATTGCAATGTTTTGGTTTTGGCACCCGATCAAGTATCGCTAATAAAAATTACAAACTGTGCTTGTAATTTTCGAGAATGATGATGACACGTCTTGATGCAGATCTTGAATTGGGTTGTATTCCTTGTTGCCAAGAACAAATACACACAAACAAATAAACGGGTATTCAACACTCAAGTAAGTTGTAAGTTCACCAGAAGCAAAGCGATCCGGAACTTTATTCTTCGACGCGAAAGTTGTAGAACAAGATAATTTATAGATGCAAAATTCCGGCCAAAACTTACGTTTTATTTTATGGTTTATGAATTAAAATCATAATTCGGGCGGAATGTTTGACGTATAATTTGACACACAAGGATGATATTATTACGTCTGTTTCTTAAAGTCTCATGCTATCCGTGAATGTAACAGAATAAAATTTGCGCTTGGAAAAAATAATTCAACTCCTTTTAATAAGAAAATATACGCCCTAGGACTTAGTTTCGCATGAAAGGGGACATAATGAGAAAATACGCATGCTTAGCGCCATCAAGTAAAACTAAATTGTGTTTTCTCTTTTTTTTTTTCATTTCGGCAGCTGGACGGATGATTAAACGTTTCACAGCCTAATCCATGCTTTTATTTTATTAGTATCGCACCTTCGAAAAAAATATATATAGTTTTTTTTTAATTTTTGATGTTATTTTCTTTCCTCTGGTTCAGGGGAAACTTCGAAGAAAGAAAAAATATATATTAAATATCTGTGCGACGTTACAGCAATTGTTTGCTTCACATGTTTCACCTCGAATGCTAATTTAGCTTGGAAATAGACCATTCTCATTATTTAACCTTTCACAATTGACATATAAATGCCCTTTGTATGACGCAAGTATAAGTACCCTTTCTCAGAGAGGTGGACTTGCTCTCACTTAATGTTATCTGTGGTGACATGTTTAGATGTAAGTTCTCTATTATTACGACATCTCGGTGATGTTTGCATTTGTAGCGGCAAAACGTGATTCAACTATACAAATAAGATATATCGAGACTCTTGGCGTGCTGGTCAACACGTCGTATCAGTAGATTTACCGCGAAAAGAATTACTGCAGAACTGCCGTGGAAGGTAACTCGTTTTTTTCTTACCAAACGAACGCTTCGGGCATGTCAGAAACATCCATCAACAGTTCCCTTTCAAATAGCCTACAATCTATAGACGGACAAAATATAACTAATGCCATTCGTAATATTTTGGTGATCAACTGTGTGGTGAATATTCCCTTGGCTTTAACATCATTTGTTGGGAACACATTGGTGTTATATGGAGTATGGAAAACACCAACTCTTCGCTCGCCCTCTATTATCTTACTGTGTGGTTTGGCACTCTCTGATCTAGCAGTTGGTATAGTAGCACAACCACTTTTTATCGTCAACAATTTGCTTCGAGTGTACTCACAATCCCAAAATGTTAAGGACGTCTTTTCGAGTGTCTACAACACGTTTGGGTACACGTTATGTGGAATCTCTCTCTGCACAGTAGCTGTTATAAGCCTAGACAGACTGATTGCCATTGAGAAGGCCCTTGAGTATCCTCGTCTGGTCACGATCCCTCGGGCGAAACGCGTTCTTGTAACGATTTGGATAATGTGTGTTCTTTTGCCAGCCTTGCAGTTAAGTAGCTTATACATTCGAGTGAGCGCAATTGGAATCGTAACTTCGATTTGTCTCGGAGTTTCCACCACTTCTCATCTGTTGATTTACAAAACGGTTCGTTACCATCAACGCACGATTCAGATTCAGGTTCTAGCGGTGGGAAAGAATACGGATGGCAGTTTGGACAACATGTTGAAGTATAAAAAATCAGCGCTCAATTCTTTTATAGTATTTCTTGTACTTTTTATCTGCTATTTTCCATATTTTGTTGTTTACGCCATATATTCGCAATCTACGATCAATGGCTTCCTAGCAAGAGGGCTCACCTCAACAATCGTGTTCGTGAACTCTGTGGTAAATCCATTTCTTTACTGTTGGCGACTGCGTGAAATTCGAGAGGCTGTGAAACAGACTCGTCCTAAACTTTGATTTTTGTACATTTGTTATTGTGTTTTCACTGAAAAAAAATCAACATGAGTACAGCCTTATGGGCAATCTCCAGAATTTACCCTATTCAGAGCTTTGGAGGTGATTTGGTGTGAGAAATAAAGCGCTTAATAGCGATTGCGAAGATTGAAATAGGGGGTCCACACGAACTTCAGAAATTTCAAAGGAGTCTAGCCAACCCTTGGCTTGTTGCAGGAGCCGCTGAGAGCCAAATATCACCATCCTCAGCCATACCTGGTAAAGAGGAGAGAGATCCAACACAGGTATGGATTGCAGCCACCCTACCATGAAAAATTGCGGGCTTTTTTTTCTTCTTACCGAGGATAGGAAAATTGAGAAAAACGTTTTAGTACTTTAAATGAGGGACAGCAAATCGATCTTCATGGTACCAGGGTAACAGGTGGAATTACGTTTAAAGACTTTAATTAAGTGGCACCTGGTCATACTCTCCTACATTTACTCTCACAACAGGAACAACAATACAAGGACCAGGTCTTGTGCTTCCTGCAGAAGTAACCAGACTCGACTATGGGGTCGTTTAAAGACTTAAATTCAGTGGCACCTGGTCACACTCTCCTATATTCACTCTCACAACAAGAGCAACAATGCAGGGACCAGGTCTTGTGCTTACTGCAGAAATAACCAGACTCGACTATGGGGTTGATTTTGATCAAGACTAAGAAACTTCTATCAACAGATCCCTTTCAGAGTTGACCAGTACAATTATCAACTCCATCTATGCAGACGACCTTGAAACTACAATATAGTGTCCTTAATATTAGGACTCCGTATTTAACGAGTTTCTTATGGAAATTAGCTGCCATCCGTATCATCGGGTTCTTTAAAATAGCAAGATGTCCTTGAACCGAGAGTTTACTGCATGCACTATACATTGAGATATTGTTTGAAGAACGAGGAACAGAGAAAACTTAGAAGCTTATTTTCTCGACAGTTCAGACTGTCTACTTGTGTAAATCTTTTCCATTTAACACTCTCAAAGCAAACCTCTCGATTCGTTTGCATTCCACTTTCACCGACAGCCACTGCATTTAAGTTGGAAATTGAACCCAAATTTTTTTATAGGAATGTTATCCCAGTCTCCCCTCAGAGAAATCGATTACCATAACTTATGGATTAATCTTTCATTAGTGAAGGGTTTTCACTGCCTCTACGTAATCGGCTGTAAAGTTTTTATGAAGGCAAACACAACTCAAAACTCTAACTCCGTATTTGGGCTAGAATTTCACCTGTGTAATGTTACTGTTTAGCCAGCTAATAAACCGCGCTTCAAGGTCACGAGCTTCTGTTGTAACGTATTAATGCAAAGACCATCACCTGTAATGATGCTTCGTTTTTTCTTGACGACAATTACAGGTGAATTATCTAACTCGAAACTCCCAAACAAGGATCAAATAATATGTTTCTTATAACAAAGAGAGGAAAATTACTAGATGCTGATTGGCTACTGAGACAGGACAGTTTCCCTTAATTGTGGTAATTTTCCCGAGCATTTGAATTTGTAAATTAAAATTGAAAACGAGAAAGAGACAACTTTACGTTTAAGTATGAAAATTTCATTGATGACAAATGATTTTTAGCAGGGCTGGTTACATTGTAGTGTTACAAAAATACATTTCCACTTGGCTGATTCGTGCGTTTGAAAGTCCAGTGACTCTAACTCCCTTTATATCATGAATAAGTAAGCGCATTTTGCTCTCGAAATAAAGGATTAATATCACTTTTGTTTTCAGAAATTGCAGAAATTTCCTCGTCGCTGCTGTGTGACTCGGGCAATTTTCTGCAACTTCTGAAAATGCGATTGCTACACTTTGTCTAATGTTCCTCCTGCTCATTCTTAATTCTTGGCCCTCTTGAACGCACGATGGTTTTTTTGTTGGTATTGCTGGTTTTTTTTTCGGTGCTCAACGCAAAAACAGATGCCCCTGCTTATTAATTTTTAATTAGTTTGTTATTGAACCGCCATTACGATCATCACTTATTTAGAGATTCTAAATGTGTCGATACCTTCCCCACAACGATTATTTGTTTCCTAACAACTGCTTCGTCAAAAACGTCAGTAGGTCTATTTGTCCCAAAACTGGGATCCAAAGGGTAAAGAAACTTGACTAATTCCATCATGCATAATATTTTGGTAGTAAATTGTGCGGTCAACATTCTTCTCGCCCTAACATCAATAGCCGGGAACACGCTGGTGTTGCATGGAATATGGAAAACACCAAGCCTTCGTTCACCTTCGATATTGTTACTATGTTGTCTAGCATTTTCCGATCTCAGTGTTGGTGCGATCGTGCAACCTCTCTTTGTCGCAAAGGATTTCATAACCTTGTATTCTGAGTCCCAGGTACTCAAAGATATCTTTTGGGATGTTTACAATGTATTTGGTTTTTGTGTATGTGGTATATCTCTTTGTACGGTTACAGCTATTAGTGTGGACAGGCTCATTGCCTTACAGAAGCCTCTTCAGTATCCGAGTATTGTTACAAATTCTCGTGTGGCATGCACACTTGGGACGATTTGGGCAGTTTGTGTTCTCCTAGCAAGCTCCGAAGTTTGGGCGAAAAGATTCCTTTTGATAGCAATGGGAACTGTGATAAGCATTTGTATATTTGTCTCTACTATTTCCAACCTGATAATATACGGAAAGGTTCGCCATCACCAACATGTGATTCAAATCCAGGTGCAAGCGGTGGAAACCAATAACAAATTCATCACCAATTCACACGTGGCGGGGCTGAAAAGATCTGCAATGAACTCTTTTATATTATTTCTCGTTCTTATTATCTGTTATTGTCCATATTTTGTTATTTATTTGGTTTCTTCGTTTTATTCAATGAATTCTTTTCTTGCTACGTCTCTAACTTCAACGATTGTGTTCATTAACTCAGCAGTTAATCCTTTCCTTTACTGCTGGCGATTGCACGAGATTCGCAATGTCGTAAAAAATACTTATCGCAAACTCGTTTGCTGTAAATTAATATAGCAATTTACACTCATTATGTGTATGCAAAGCTTATTAACTGTAGTTTGAAAGGTTTGCAGAGTGCATTTCAATTCAGCATTAGCATTACCACGTACTTGGTCTTTTAATTTGCGTCAGTCGAATGTTTAACTGTGGCCTGGTTATGTTTAACGGTTAGAAATCGTGAGTTCAATTGCTCAGCTGGAAAGATGAATTATAATATGAGTTTATTATTTATTCCCTAAATGTTAATGTAAACGTAAATTATTAATGAACAAAACTTGCCTAAATAGGTAAACAGGCTCTCAGAATAACCGTAAGGTGCAGGTATTCATAACACATAGCGAGTAGAGTGCAATGCGGCCGCGAGTCCTTTTTATCTCCGTATAACGCCTAGACATGATCTTAGATTTTTTTAGGCGAAGAAAGGCTGGAAAGAAAATTAATTGGCTTACAAATGTCTCCATTTTAGGCGAAAGAAGACAGAAGGGAAGAGGGGAGAGAGTCTTTGTGCTTCACCGAACACAACTCTCTCCGTCCGCTAAACCTCTAAATCAGACACAGCGATTAGGCTAAAGATCGCGATTTCGTAACGCTACTGGCTACGTAAAAGCTCTTGGTATTCCCTGATTTGTAATCTCAAATGTTAGGTCCCTAGACGGAATATAAAGACTTCCATTTTGAGCGAAAAAGATAAGGTCTCAACTGTTTTGTAATTTATGCATTTTGGATTTAAAAAAAAAAAACCTCGAAATTAAAATGAAAATGGGCGGAATTGCTATCGACATCGAGTTGCCGTTGTGCGTGATTGTATTTTACAAACGCTTAGCCTTCTGATATGCCTTTGAGGATGGTCTCGAACTCCTTTAGGATACATGCAGTGACTGAAAGACACCTTTTCCTGACGGGATGTTGTCCATCATCAGAAGTATGAAACCTTGAGTCCCATAAGTCAAGCAAGCTATCTTGACCACTTTTGCTATGGTTGTCAAAGCCCCCGTCACTGTCACTAACAAAAGTACTTTTCATTTCAATTCCACTTCTATTACGCAATACTGAGACATTTGCTGGTAATTAATTAAAGATCTATGGAATTCATGTGTCTAAATTATTGAAAAACGTAAAGCGGATTTTGGAGTTCTCTGCACGAGTTTATGTTCCTATCTGTTTTAAGATCTGTTTTTCCTGAAGTATATTTTCTTAAGTTTTCAGCCATAAAATTGTAACGTGCATACGCCGATGAACGATTTTTGAAGGCTTTAGCAATATGTCCATAGATTTATCGCAAAGGTAGAAAGTTTCCGTACTAATGCAACACTTATTACTTAACGACTCCACCTACCTCCCCCGTCTTTAGATTAGGAGCTAAAAAAAGCAGAAACCAGTGACCGACCGTCTAAACAAACAGCTGCCACCCTTACCAACTTTCATAGTATGTAACTGAATAGAGCTCTTGGAAGTGGTTGGTTCTCGTCTTTGGCTTTTAAAGCGATTTGACGTTCATTCAATTTTTGGTGAAGAAAATAAAAACAGGTGAACGACAACTTTTCGCCCCCAAGACAGTTTATTGCCCGGGGCAACTTTTTTTTTTTTTTATTATTTTTATTTTTTTTCGGTGAATGAGCAGAAAATCTTTGAATGGAATCAATGGTTGAAAATTGAATTTTCTCAACTGAATCGCAATTTAAATAAGGTATTAGGAAAACCAAAACACAAGACTGTTAAAGGAGTTGATAAGAAAGAATTACGAAAAGCGTTTAGTCGCTCTTTCACGTGACTCAGACGATTCTTTTGAAACATAATTTCTGGTGTTACAGGTCAAAATCGATGATTGATGTGAAAGTCTGAATTGAAGTAAAATTACAAATCAGGCCAATTACTAAGACTCAAGAGGGTTGATAATTTCTTGTCGGTAACTCTTTTCTCGTGGATTGTAATTTGCAAGCTTAAATAATTAATTGAACTAGTGAGATTGTTTGGAGATATTTTTGCGTTCAAGTTTCCTTTAGCAGCACTAGGGCAAGAAGCAAAGAAAACAATAGTGCATGGAACTCGTAGCCAACATCAGAAATCGTCAGTGCATCGCCTTTTCAAAAAAAAAATAATAACAAAAAGGAAAATGGAAAAAAAGGAGTTTTTAACATCATCTAGTAAAGGTATTGGATTGGATGTTGCTTCCAATTTAGCCCCGTATAGATTTTGCTAGAGCGTTAAAAAAACTTACGGAATAATATAAATCACATTCCATTAATTTTCCCCCCTGCCGTTAGTTCATGTGATAGTGTGAGCTACTCGAGATAATTTTAATTTGCTCGTCTCAATACTTAAATTGCATCAACTAGGAGTGACGCATAGATGAATTATCCAGAAACATTTGCGGAATAGGCGTACCACAAACCTTGTTTATGCTTAATTAAGCTCAAACTTATGCAATATTTTATACTATGTGTGTGATGTTTTTGATTTATACCCTTCAGGATATCAAAGTTATTACATAGGCTCTGTGCTAATATATGTCATAAAAGGGAACTCACTTATTTGCGTCGTGGATGTGAATGAGTAGGCGTAGACGTGAGCATATGTATCTTAATTAGTTGAGCGCGCGCGATGTTTTTGTATATACGTGAAAGTGAAGAGAAAAGTTTCATCAGATAACTTCTTAACTCCGAAAGCGAGGAAGTTCGACTTCCGCAAACTGTTCGCTATACTCCAAAGGTTGAGTTCTCAACGCTTGTTCAGCACATTTAAGTCGAGCGACAGTCAAAGAGTAAATAGAACCTTTTTATGCACGTTTTTTGGGGTAAGTAGTTTACACTTGGTAAGTTAGACTCCTTCTGTAAATAACTGACTTGGGTTCCGAAATCTCGTCTCATCACTCTTTCTTAGAAATATGTATCAATGTGATTGTAAGGAAACATATGCTCACGCAATTGCCGTCAACACTGTTGAGATGATAGGGACCATGAGCAGTAAGCACAGCAACGCTAAGAAAGACGTCGATTAAGAAATGAATTTCTAATTTTTAGTTAGAATTTTGAAAATAGCTGCGTGTGTTTACTGTCTAAATCTCTTACGGTGTCATACCTCAACTTCAGTACAACGTTTATAAGCAGCGTTGAGTTCCAAATGGAAAATTTAAATATTTGCCGTTGCGCTTTCTGTTTCCAGACGACGCAAATTTTGGTGATTTCACGTCTTTGTTTTGCAAAAGACGGCTTAGAAATATAAACATTTTTAAAACGCACGTGCTGACTATTGTTCTGCCATTAGTCTTTTCTTTTTTTTCTACGTCCTCGTTGCCCTCGCCGTCAGGGTGTGCTTAAGGTCCTTATTGACAACTGCAGACCCCAGTTGTTCGAAGGCCGATTAGCGCTAACCCAGATTTAATCTGGGTTTCTTTATTTCTTTTTCCAAAAGCCTTTTTCGGATAATTTCCTCTATTCTTTCTAAAGCATCCAAGTACCAAATTGTAGATAAGTTATCTAATTATAATGAATATTCTTTTAAAGCTTTCATACGTGAGGTCAGATTTCAAACAAACCCTGGGTTATCTTAGCTTAGCTTTAAACACCTTAGCCCTTAGCCCTTAGCCAGACGTCTGCAGATATAAGCGCCGTTTTCGTTTGAATAGTCGAGTTGATTTTTTCGTTCAAGTAGGAATCTTCCTGAGATTTCAACCGGCCTAGTTATAATTTATCCATTTGAACATAAGACAAAATTCATACTTCTTGCATACCAAGCGAATAGCGTAACCACGCTCTCATCAGAAAGACGCAAAAATATACCCAAGCGAACAGATCTTAAAAACTTTTTCAGGATTAATATCATAAAATTAACTCTGAGCTAGATTCAACCGTCAAAGCTAGAAATGGTACAGAAAAAGAAACATATAGTCATTATTTTTTCACCTTCTTTCTGGTTGTTTTTTCTTAGGGTAGCCAAGGAGACATTGTCGCAGGTGATAGTTTTCCTACCCAGAGGCATTCGATTACAGATCATCGTTTATTTAAGAAAGACGCAGTTGGATTAAAACGCCATGTCTCTCACGAATTCTTCAAAATTCTTCACTTTTATCGTCTTCACGACCATATTTCACCCGTTCGGGTAAGTAAAATATGTTAAGTTTTTTCAACTAACCAATTCAAATTACTGAGGTAAAAAAAAACTTTTGGAGCCCGAGTAAAGAATTATTCAAAGTGCTTGACGTTCAAAACAATTACAACCCTCTTCTTTTTTTTTTTTTTTTTTTTAATTTAGGCTTACTTCATTCAAAACCGATCAATAACCAAATTGGTGTTGCGTTTACCCGACATTTAATTTAATGTAACTATATTTTTTGGATCTTTTAGGTATAACTTTTTCAATAACCGATATATTTTCACGTAATTCTGGCTAATTTTTTTGTAAAATTTTGACACATCTTTTGGGATTGAGTTCGTTCGTCAAAAGATTTAGTTTGATTTCCTAACTTTCGCTATTGTTTGTCGCGGTTGAATTTTTTGCATGATAGCTATGATCGCCAATCACTGTTCTCAAGGACGGATGTTTAGTTTTGGAGCTCCCTCGAGAAATATGGTTTAACGTGAATGCTTTATTTTGTTTTCAATAAGAACCGAAAAAGCTCTCAATGTAAAAAGCGAAACAATTCAGCTCTCGCCTCTTTCTTGCGCAAGCCACTTACGAGGAGTGTCTTTTATTGCGACGCTGTCATATCGCACTTGCAGAGACAATTGAACATTTTTTACCTTTAAAAAAAACGTTGCTTAAACGTTTCTAGAGGTTATTGCCAGATTTTTGCGGTTCAAAAACAGAATTAATATTATATTTTTCGAATCAGTTGCGTGGCAAGTAACCATTCTGAAATAGCAAAATGTATTTCGAAATGAAGAGTTTTCAACAGCTTACTTTTCATGCAGTATTGTCTACACTTTGCATAATTCAATTAAACTTGGTATGATAAAAAACCTAGAAGATAAACGGTGTTTATAAAATCCACTGATGCTGTGTCTGAGCGGAAAAGGTTTTCTGCTTTATTTTACTTTTCTGATGTCTCTTTTTTTCTATCATTCCGTGACAAATGTATTCTTTCTTTTCGATATAAAAAAAAAACTGTCTTAATTTGGTCTTGAAAGCTTAGCAAGATCCACTTGATCGCCATAAATAATTCACGAATATTACACCGAACATAACAACAACAAGGTCATTTTTGCATGTTGCCCGAAAGGTTGTCGTATTCTGTTGAGAAAGGAGTATTGCGTTTAAAAATATATTTTAATCTTGTAGAGAAATATCTCATCCAAAAAATTGCAGCGGGGAAATTATTAAAATGATGTTTCAATTGTTATATTCGATTCAGTGAAACAAAATTTGAACACGATAGACATGCACATGCACAGTGTATGGAAGACCAATTTTGAAATGGCTTTGTTTTGGAAATAACATTTGCATTTCGAAAAACACATCGACGATTAGGAAATTAATACCACTTTTTATTTCTATCTTGAAATGGAGTTGAATATTCCCGCGCCCGGAATATTTGCTTTAGAGTTACGAATCTAGCTGAGGAAGGTTCTCAAAAATAGTTGTATGTGATTAAGCTTTTTAAAAGCATTGTTTAAAAAGATCCCTGCATCAATTAAAATATGAGTTTTGGAAAAAAGGTGTGTTTTGAAAATCATTTGGAGACATCAAGGTCAAACTCGTCTCTTCTAGGAAGTTTTATAGCCCAAAAGTTAATTTATTTTCATAGATATTTACATTGTGAGATAATGATAAATCTCCACTATAAGTATTCGTTGTAATTATTAGCATATCCTGGTGAGTTTTCGATTGCCTCGGTCTAAAACGGTTACTATGGCCTTTACATCGTGGTGTGTCCGTTATTCTTACACAAAAGCACGCAATGTGCATGTAGGCAGAATGAAAAAATAGCTTTTCAGCAGGTTCTGCCGAAGTAAATATGGAGAATAATGGTTTCATTTTAAAGGAAAGAAGTTGGAGTGTTTTCCAATAATAGTTAAGACTGCTTATGAAATTAAAATTGAGATCCTCTCCATTAAACGTCGATAGGATCTTTTAAAATGAGAAAAACAAAAAGTATTTGATGGCAGAAAAAATAATGAAAATTTATTTATTTCTCGGCTGCCGATGCAGACAAACTCCCGAATGAAAATTGTTATGTTTTGTTTGTAAAGGGTAGATAGAGTCATTAACCTTTGAAAAAGTGCATCATGGGTTATAAAAACACATCGGTTAGCCCCATGAGTTTCCCGAATTTTTATCCTTCTTCTGCCAAGAAAACGCGTCTCATGTCGATTTTCTGACAGGTCTTCGCAAAGAATTGCTAATCAGACGATACGGGACTTGCTGTTCTCAAATTATGACAAGGACGTGAGACCCGACCACGGAGGTACTTATTCTTCTTGTTCTTGTTGTTGTTCCATTTGATCTCCTAGTGGCTTTCGGCATTGTTGTTATTTTTCTTGTTCTTGTTCTTCTACTTTTTCTTCTTAGTGTTCTTCTCTTTCTTATCCTTTTGTTTTTGTTTTTTTGTTGCTGTTTTTCTTCATCTTCTTCTTTTCCTCATTGTTGTTCCACTTGATCTCCTAGTTGCTGTTGGCATTGTTGCTATTTTTCTTGTTTTTGTTCTTCTACTTTTTCTTCTTAGTGTTCTTCTCTCTCTTATCCTTTTTGTTTTTGTTTTTTTTTTAATCGTTGTTTGTTTCACCGTTGTCCTTCTTGCTTTTGTTCTTGTCAGTCTCTTTCTTGTTGTTGCAATTGTTGTTTTTGTGTTGCTATTTTCCTACTTTTTGTTCTTGCTCTCATTCTTGTTGTTGTAATTGTTGTTTTTGTTGTGTGTTGTTTGTTGAGTGATGTTTTTGTTTTTTGTTGTTTATTGCTGATCTTGTTGTTGTTGCTGTCCTTGTTTTGTTGCTGTCGACGTTCTTCTTTGTCTTTTTGTTCGTTTTATTTGTATTTTGTCTCTTTTTCTGATTTTTGTCTTCTTTTAGTCAAGCCACTGGATGTGGAGGTGGACTTGTACGTCGAATCATTCGCAAATATTGCAGAAGCTAATATGGTAGGGAATCAATCATTTTCCTAAGACGTTGCGGCCGGTCTTTGTTGCACGTATGTTAAAGTCCTAAATGTAATAACTGTCCTGAATGTAATAAAGTCCTAAATGAAATAATATTTGGCACAAAATGTAATGAAGTTTTTAATGTAGTAACAATTAGTCCAAAATGTAATAAGCCTCCAATGCAATTGTTTAACTCCGCCAGTGCATTGTTGTTACAGTGGACATCCACATTGAGATGTTTAAGTGAGGCTTATTACATTTAGGACTTAATTACATTTGGGCTTTCAACACATATACAGTCTGTGCGCAAATTTGCAATAGAAACACGATTTTGCAATTTAAGGGTGCGTCCAGAATGAAGACCAAGGATCAGAAGACGTTTCGTTTCATTTTTCAAAATGAACGGAGTGTCCAGCTGTAAAAAAAAGGTCCTAAATAAAGGCATCTGAATACGAAACTGAATGATCGGTTTTTAATTTTTTTTTTCAAGGAGTACACCTTATTTGGTTACCTCCGTCACTACTGGACAGACAAGCGTTTTGCAAATAAATCCAAGGAGGTTATTCAGCTGAAGGGATCGACCATTGAGCATGCGTGGATGCCTGACACATATATCAGCAATTCAAGACAGTCCAATCTGAGACAAAAAGACTCTGAGGCAGAAAGTACTTTATTTATTCATACCGATGGCTCAATGTTCTACTCGAAGGGGTGAGTTAAGGGATATAAACGAGTCATCTAAGAAATATCACATGAGCTTTTCCTGGTTGAAAGAACTAGACAGGGTCTCTGCTCAACAAGGCTTTCCGAAAGCCTTCTTAAGCAGAGACCCAATGAGCGTAAACTGGCAGTTTACGCTCATTGACTGAGGTTGGTCTTAGACCTGAGTCCTTTTAAGGTGAGGAGAGTTCATCTTCATTGATCACTAGTCCACTAGGCCGAGCTCGCCGTCATTCAAAAACCTAACCTAGCTGATTCTCATTGTTTAATGCTCTTACAGTTTAACAGACCTATTTAAACCTTAGCTAAGACCATGAAAGGGATAACGGCTCCTGAGTGGGCGGGAGTGATGGCGATTAAGGGGTGATTCTGCACTCCCCACGCCCCCAGAACTCTTAAATCACGGTCGTAACCGACGGATACAGAGAAGCATCTAACCCTAAAATCGGTGCTCCTAACTGGGCTGGAGAAATGGCGATTAGGGGGTGATTCCGCACTCCCCTCGTCCCCAGATCTCCTGAATCAGGATCGTAACCAACGGATTCGGCTAAGCATCTAACCCTAATGTCAGTGATCAAATTGTTGAACCCATTGACCTTTTCAACCTCCTATTACTTCAATTTGATCTCTTTTGCCCTTGTTGGAGTAACCTATTCGTTCCCTCCACCCCAAAAAAAGACAATGTTGTATTGCGATGCCATTAATTTTTTTAGCTACATACAGGCAAAATTGAATGGGGGAGGGGAAGTCCTGCCAATTATTTACGAGATTTACCCCTCAGGTGGCTCTTTACCCCTCTAATTTCAAATGTTCCTTTCTCTGTTCTCCTGTTTCTTTCCCACTTTACTTTCCTTTTGTCCAATGTCTCTAAAATGCAAATGCTTCTTTCTCTGTTTTCCTTTGTCGTTCTATTCTTACTTCCCCTTTATCCAAGGTCTCTAATTTCAAATGCTCCTGTTTCTGTTCTCCTGTGTCGTTCCATTCTTGCTTCCCCTTTATCCAAGGTCTCTAATTTCAAGAGCTCCTGTTTCTGTGCTCCTATGTCGTTCCATTCTTGCTTCCCCTTTATCCAAGGTCCCTAATTTCAAATGCTCCTGTTTCTGTTCTCCTGTAAAGTTCCATTCTTACTTTCCTTTTGTTCAAAGTCTCTAATTTTAAATGCTCCTTTTCTGTTCTCCTGTGTCGTTCCATTCTTGCTTCCTCTTTATCCAAGATCTCTAATTTCAAATGGTTCTTTCTTTGCTCTCAATTACTTTTCCATTTGTTCAAGGTCTCGTTTGAGTTTCCTGTTTTTAAATTTAGGGTGAAAATTGTGGCCTCTTGTGCTATGGACTTGAAGGATTTTCCAATGGACACACAAAAGTGTGGCCTATCTTTGGGAAGTTGTAAGTGTCTAATTGCATGACTTTTTTGGAAGATAATGGTATGTTTCCTTTTAATTTGTTTAGACTAAAGGAAATGACAGTTTGCGTCCCTCTCTAGGCTAAGAGTTATTCTCGAAAAACAGTCATGATCATAATTAAGAAAAAAACCTCAAAAATACTGTGATTGGACATAATCTCTTAAATACTTGCAGTTGGATAGTAGATAACTGAGAATTTTTGCTCGTTGTTTGTTCTTTTTACTTGTATTACGGGGTTGTAAAAAAATACGGTACAACTGTTAAAAACACTCAGAGGTTCTAAACACCATATCGTCTTATAAGATATATATTTTGTAAGGAGAAATTCCGTCTTGGGAGTTAAAGTGTTAAGATGTTAACTTGCGAGAAGTATCAAAGGTGGGAGGAGCAAGGTCTGATACTAAACAAGTAAATTGATTTCGTTTAGATGGACACAGCTTGGCAGATGTCAATTACAAGTGGAGGCGAGAGAAGGTCGTAGTAGAGAAAAAGAACATCGCGCAGTTTGACATGACAGAAGCCTACTTAAACAGAAGCGTTATGATTTATATCTCAGGTTGGTTATCTAAAGTATCTTGCATGTTTAAAATCTGACAAAGTTCCTCATGAAATTTCGTTCGAAAAGTTGATGCCCTCCTTTCTTTAAAAGGTATGAAATTTGTTGATCGAGCTATGCCTTTTTCTTGCATAAGCTATCTGTGTTTCTTGTCTTCTCAATGAAAAAAGTAAGCTGAAGAGTTGAATGTAGAACTGCATTCTTTTATGAGGCATAAGTGCGATTTGTCCATCTTGAATTTCCGTTTTCATATCACAAAAAAAAATGATTTTTCAGTGTGATTGTTCCTTTTTCCCTCTGTGGGAGGTACTTGACCTAATCTTAGCAATTCAATCGTTATGCAGACAAGTCCCCTTAAATGCTTTCTTTGGAATAATGAAGGGTACCCATGGTGTTATAAAACAAAAGCAATGAAAATACTGATCAAAACCATAATAAAATACTCGAACGTGATTGGTTATCACCAACCCGATTTGAGCACTAATAGGACAGTTAACACGTCATGCATGTGTAGGTGGACAGAGCGTGTCATGTGCGCGCGCTGTTGTTCCGCATTTCGCCGAGTCAACAGTTTTTTTTTTTATGAAGACGTACAACCGATGTCTAGTTTCTTTCTCAAATTTTGCCATAGTTTTCATTAATTGATAACAGGACTTCGTGTCGTCCAATTCTGTCAGTTATCATACTCACGATTTTTCCAATTTAAGACTACCGCTTCGCGGTCGTCCGATTTTGTTAATCACTCGTATGATTACAGACGGAATTGGACTCCTCTTAATCCCATTACCATTATAAATAGCCTTTCAGCAGAGTTTTCCTTTGTTGTGGGCTTATATTGCGATACGCTGGAAGACTCGACTTGGCATTGCAAAAAGGGCCGCTCGTTCGCCAAATTCCTTTTGTCGGGTCAATGTGACATGTAAGTCTTACATAACCAAACCTTGCATCCACAGGTAACTATACCCAACTTCTAGTCTACTTCCACTTTGAACGTCGTATCGGTTATTACGTTAATCAGGTCTACATCCCGGATACACTGATAGTCACAATTAGTTGGATCGTCTTTTGGTTGGGCCAAGACGACATGGGTGGTCGAGTAGGATTGGGAATCACCACGCTTTTGACCATAATGTTTCTGTTGGGCTCGGTGAATATGTCTCTACCTCGAGTGAGCTATGCCAAAGCTATAGACTGGTACCTGATTGTCTCCTTTGTGTTCGTGTTTCTTGTCCTGTTTGAATGCATCATCGTGTACGTTGTCCGTCAACGAAAGCGATCACGGGAGGAGAGCGGTCGGGACAGGAGTTTGGACCTAGAGGAGGGCAAGAGAGAGGTAAGGGAATGATTCGGAGTTGGAATAATAAAGCAAACTGTTGAATTAATTTTCCACGGGCTTGCCAGTTTGGATAACTTTCTGATCGACTACCTGGTGGGAGGGTGCTCCTGCTCTTGTGAGAACAAGTCAGCTTACGAGCCATGCAGAAGTCCTAACCGACAATAGCTTATCTCGGCTTTGTCAATATAAAGAGATAAACGGTATTTATTTTCCTCCCTTATGGGATAATAGCCTGCTACAGGGTTATCCGTCCCCACCCCACCCTTACACCCCCAATCTCCCCCTCCCTTCCAGCATTTCCTCGTGTATCCCTCACAGTTCGCTGGTATCCATTTGTTTTCCTGGGTGGAGAGATACACTGCTAAGATTGAACTGTCCTAACTGCTTTTCCAAGAGGAACACTACTCCGGCAATTCCCGGCGAGGGTTCTATCGCAGACCATTTGACTCGAAGCTGAGCACGATGACAGCGGCTTCCATCCAAATGCAACAAACGTCCCGCGTAAGACCAGGATGAGAAATGTTGAGCAGGGGTCTCTCAGACGTAAAAATTGGCAAATTTTAACATTCATTCGTTGAAAGAAGTTAGCAGGAAAAACTTTCCTTTAAAACTTATTGAAAAGAAATAAAACGTTAGCCGTTATATAGCCAAATTTTAAGCGATAGCCGTTAAAGCCATCACCAATTTGACACCCACTTAGTCTGTCCAGTCTGGAGATACAGTACTGAGAGCGATTTCAACATTTCAGGTCGGTAATCGAGTGAACTTTCGAGTAAGTCGGCTGAAAATTTTTCATCATTGCCTGGTGTGTTCTTTGATCCTAATAGAAGTGTTCTCTTTTTTGCAGAGAGCTCGTACTGAAGACAGTTTTTATATAGAGAAGCTCCTAAAGAGTGATGGCTTTGTGAACGTGGAGATTCTTTCGAACACCGGTGAACTGGGGATAGTCAGTTCACGAAACAACGTCGACTCATTCCTTCCAGAGAAAAAAAATGACATTGAGATGACTGATAGGACAAGTCAGAGAGGAATGATGAGTTGCAAGAACAAACGAGCGAGGCTGTCGGTTGGTGATATAATCGATCGTATCTCGCGCCTTCTCTTTCCTCTTGCTTTTATTTCGTTCAACGTCTCTTATTGGAATCATTACTTGAGCAAATAATATGGCAAAGAATGTTCTGAGGCAAATTGCTAGCTTTGCGGAAAAGAAAACATGATAAACATTGCGGAATCACAAAAAAATTTTAGAGAGACTTTGATTTTTTTTCATTTTCTCGGGTTTTATTTTTTCTGAGGTAAGAAAACTTTTTTACGCTTTCCTGGACCACAGATCCACATGTATTTGCCCTTGTAATTTTGCGAAATGAATTGTTAGATTTTAAACCTCTCATTCATGAGATTTTGATGTAAGGTTCATTGCTGTCTGCCATTTATTTATTGAGATCTTAATTCTGAAAGTTTTCTTTCGACTCAAACAATGCTCGGTCTCTTGATAAAATCTTCATTTTGACTCTCAACACCTGTTTTTTAAATTATAACTTTTGTGAGGAGAAATGACCATTTGATAAGCCTGAAGAGTACGTGGGTTTAATGTTTTTTATGATCATGAACACAATTCAAGAACTATGGCACTAGAAATTTATACTTTTATTGAATTTTGCCGAAGTTTTAATTCTTTACTAATGAATGAATACTGCGTTAAATACGAATTTAAAAAAGCTTAACCTAAATGAACCTAGATGCTCTTAAAAACTTCACTAAATAAGACTGCTTTTTAATACAGTTTTAGATAGAAGAAATAAACAAACAAACGAGATCTTCCGGATGTTTTACCCTAAGTTACTCTGAGTAAAAGGGTGAATTTAGCAACGAGGATTGACTAATTGGGATTCTCAATAAACTTATGCTGAATTCCACTATTGTAGACCCGACAATGAAAGCTTCAGGTCAGTCTCGATTTCTCCTAACCCCTTACACCCTAACATCAGTATGCATATTCTCCATACTTATTCTACACATTTCTTAAGGTTCTGACAAGGAGAATTTGTTCAACAATCAAGAGCTTCTTTAGATGTTGATCATTTCCCTTATTCTCATGACCTTAATGTTCTATTCAGGGGTGATCTTTAGGGAGAAATTGGATGCTGGTCACTCCTAGGGGTTAAAGGGTTGATATAAGATAATTAGCAGGCTTAAAAGCCTAAGACGTGATACGTCTGTACATTGGTGGGTTAAGTCCTTGTAGTTTATTACTTTGTTGATCTTAAGGAGATTTATGCAAGAGATTCAAATCATATTACATTTGGTAAAAAACTCATAATCGGTTTCTAACACTCAACAATTTAAAGCAACAGGAAATGACGATAAAATGGTATTAAGTTATCATTCATGTTGAATTAATGAATGTCAAGTGTGTTATTTGTTTGCAAAAAAAAAAGATAACCTTATAAGTGTGAAATATAACATGGAAAGATAAGCTATCGTATTGTTGCAATATCTTGATTGCATCCGTACGTTGCTATGAGTTTTTTTTACATTCCGTTTATTGCGGTGTTTGTTTCTTTCCTTTTTGTTTATTTGCTTTAGTCTTGTTTAAGATGGTTTGATTGATTGAAAGGATGTCTTATTCATTCTTTCCTCAGTTAGTCAGTCAGCTGATGGGTCAGTCGGTCGGCTAGTCAGACAATCAGTCGGTCAGTCAGTCGGTCGGTCGGTCGGTCGGTCGGTCGGTCGGTCGGTCGGTCGGTCGGTCGGTCGGTCGGTCGGTCGGTCGGTCGGTCGGTCGGTCGGTCGGTCGGTCGGTCGGTCGGTCGGTCGGTCGGTTCAACTATTCTTTCATTAACTCTTACTCTTCCTCTTGCATACTTAGACACTCACTTTCTATCCAACTAATTTATTTATTCATTCATTTATCCATACATACATTCTCCCATTTATTTATTCATCAATTATTCATTCATTAACACTCGCTCACTCTTTAACTCATAAATCGTATTTTATGTAGTACCGCAAGGTATATTTACGAGTTGTGCTGTATTTTGACGAGCGCAGGGCCAGTCAAATTCTAACAATGATTGTAAAGTGGTAATCCTATTTTTGTTTGTTTTTTGTTTGTATGTTTTTATTTTTTGTAACTCTTGGATCGCCTGTCTGCTGAAGTCATCTCTCACCTCTCATTTTTTGCAAGTTGAATTTGAATTTGCATTGCAAATGTAACTCATCTAAATTCATATTCAATGTCTTCGTCAAATTTGCACGAGGCATTTTGGTGTTTTGCTTCTTGATCCAAAATATGCCTCAAAATAGAGGTTTCTTCGGTGAATAACTCTTGGAATAACATGTCACAGACGGAGATTCAGTCGGTGGATCCTTTCTGGGGCGAGAAGACTCTAGGAGTGAAGCATTACAATCAGAAACTCAAAAGCCATGGCCAGCTCGGGATTTGAAGTGACAGAGTGGAACAGCTCGTTCGGAAAATCTTGCAGCACATTAAATGTAAGTAGCAAGAGAGCAAATCACACTTTATCTGATGTGCATGGTTCAAGGTGGCTGAGAAGATTTTAGGCAGTTTGGAGCAGGTTGAGGCAATGGTAATAATGTCGAGAAATAGATTAAAATCTCTTGTGTCAGGCAAATGCCTCGGCGAACATTATTGAAAATATTGTGACTACCGTATCGCATAGCATACAAGTATTGAAACGAAGTTGGTCTATAGATATCTTTAAAAGAAGGCTTGGTTATTTTTTATTTATTTATTTTTTCAATTTACGGGAAATTATTCAAATTGCAATACTATGATTTTCTGCTGCCATGGGAAATAAAATTAGTGCATAGGGTTTACCAGACTCGTCTAATTTTGTTACAACCTACATTACAGCGAAAAATTCGCTTGCGATTTTGTCCCCGTCAGAATGACACCAACCTTATGGCTTCCTTTTGCAGTAGAGCTCTTGCTGAATTAGTAACACAAGGTTTAACTGCTCATAAATTTCTGTAGAGTATCCTTTTATTCGTTTCTTAGAAATACTAGGTAGATGAATATTCACATGAAATCCTTTCTTGTGAGATTCTCCATGACGATTTCAGCAACACAGTTTTCCTTTTTCGTTCCACGTTTATCATTTACGGAAAATACTTACCTTAAGTTAGAAGTACATGTATCCCTAGCATGTTTTTCCCTTCTTGGAGAGCACTAAGTATGAAACGAAGAAAATGTGGGAATAAAGAAAGGCAGGAGAGGGAAAAGAGAAGGGTAGTATCCAACAAGGTTTGTTGCTTCCATGAAGTTTTGTGACGACTCAACTCGTCGAAGCCTTGAAGTGTGGTCTGTGTTAAGCACTTAAATCTGATATTAATATTTGGACCTATCTTCATACAAGCATGTATCTCCTTTGATATGTAAGTTTTTCGATCACCTTCTGATTAAGGGAGTTTAGAGTTGTGTCGCATTAATGAAGTCCCAATGGATAAAGTGACCTCGGTGATTCCCATGAACATTTACAACGGCGTTGAAGAAAATATATATTGTTGTCATCCTTCAATTGAGGACATCAACACAGTTAGTTTAAAATTTGGCAATTCTTATAGAATTATGCGATAATCTTCATTAATAATTCAAAATAAAGAATAAAGTAAGTTTGCTCATTGGCATAATATAAATTCCATTCCAGCATCTAGAACAGAAAGTGGTCGTAACATCTCTAAATCACGAATTTCAAGAGAATGAGGAAATAGACAACTTCTAGCAAGGTTGGTTATTATTATTTCTTTCTTTATTTATTTCTTTATTGTTTTTACAAATAATATTTTAAATGATGTGCTCTTAGTCTTCTCTGCTCTGGTGAGAGTGCTCAAATCCGGAATTAGCAAAGGACTGCAATTTAATATTTGTCAATAATAAAATAATGCTGAGGTAATTTTGATTAAAGACATTATTTCGCTCGTTTAAAGTTCTCTTATTTGGATCTCGCTCTGTAAGGCATCGCGCAGCTGTGGTAACGTGTAGTACCTGGATGATTAACAGAAAATGAATGTTAAGTTTTGGGCGTTTGACTGAAAGTTTCTGTCGCAAATTAAGGAGGAACTTTCTTTAATGAATTCGGTGGATGATCATTAAAAAAAAAAATTGAGAGAAAGAAGGTTGGCGCGACCCTTAAGCAACACTAGAGGAGTGCGTCTTGACAATGGAATAGGAGAATAGTTATTAGATTGCCTCTTTAGTCCGGAGGTTTTAAAATCATATCCTAATTTTGAGGAACAAGAATGCTTTGGTTTCATATTATGGACTTCTCAACGCATCATCATTTGCCCGCCAAAAAAGTGCTGGCCTTAATATTTTAACAAACATATTCTACCAGTGCTAGTTACCTGAGAATAATTTTGAAAGTAGAGGTTTTAAGAAATGTGTCGTAGCTTTTCTTTCTTTTGAAAGGTCACTAGGGATTACTCTTTATTCACTGTTATTCAAATTTCACTCTAATTTTGTCGCAATTTTAACCGCCAAGTTAGCTTGAAGTCGTCGAAAGTTTCTGTCTCATTTTTTCGTTATCGTGAACAGGAGTAAAGTAACTTTCAATTAAAATATTGATTTACACTTGATGTGATACCTAAGTTCTATGACGAGACATTTCTGACAAGCTTAGGGATAGAAGTTCATAGAGGAAGCATGGATGAGAAAGCCGAAAAAAATGAAGACATGAAATCATCAGAGCTGCAACCAGGTCGGGAGCTCTTGATGAGGCTCAGTCTTCTGTCTACACATCGTGCCTGCTGGTTTTATTTGTTGGCCGGTTCAAAATTATTGGAATACAATTTAACAATTTGTTCTCTCTAAACTTCCCAAGTGCTTCATATCTCGATGAACGCACAGCTGACGTATGAACCAATTGTTTTATATTTTAAATTTTTTTTGTTTTTCATTTTAACATTTTCAACCCGATGGAAAATTTTTTTCTCGAGGGATATGTTTGCTGACGTCATGAGCGTGCACAATAGGATATAAAACACGCTTGCGCAATTGAATTTGATTAAACAAATTTACTAGCTATGTTATAATGAACATTGTTCACGCTCAGATCTCAAAACCGTGACCGAAATCAAAGAAAAAAAAACTATTTCTTAGTCCAATACCTCTAGAGAGCTCTTGATTGGGCTCAGTCTTAGGTATTCTGTTCACACATTGTGCCTGCTGGTTTTATTTGGTGGTCGGTTCAAAATGATCGGAATGCTATTGAACGTTGTTCATGCTCGGATCTCAAAACCCTGACCGAAATCAAAGCAAGAAAACTATTTCTCTAGTCCAATACCCCTAGGATTTATCATTGAGATGAATTATAAGTTGTTACTTGAATTCCAAATTCCTTTCAGCTCTGAATTTAATAATATAACTCAATCGCTGAGAACAACAACTTGGAGAAGAGTTAAAATGAAACTTAAGTTTAATTTGAAAAGTGTACTCCCTTTTTACTTTTTAGGCAAGAACATTGCTAAATCCAGGTCATGTATTTTCTCTTGCCGAGGGCGACAAAAAACTTAAGGATGAATACTGATTGTACACATTGTTGAAAAGACTTAAAGTGTAACAACCAAGCCAAGCGTCTGTGTAGAAACAAAGCAATTTTTCTTTGGTAAACTTAACTTTTCTATGTAAATGTCGTTGGCAATTTGAGTTTCCA